CCCCCGCCCTCCTTGCGTTGTTTTTACAATCATAATGACTCTGTCCAAGAGAAGCAGCTGTCACGGATGACCATTTGTGTTACGACGCAGTGGAATCAGGCTCCCTGCACTTTTTGGGTAGATGGAGGTATTGGTATCATCCTAAAGCGTGTTAATTTGTCCTACGTACAGTTAGGTCAAAACATACCCACCTGTCTAGAATGGAAGTCGATATGTTAAAATTACCATTGAAGAAGGAGGAGGTCGGCTGGTTTCAAAGGTCAAATTAGCGAGAAAATGGCTGCCAAATTCAGGTGATTTCCAAAGCTTGAGTGCCCTTTGAAACTTTATATTTACATTGCTTTGTGCCTTTGATCAACGTTTTTTCAGTAAAATCCACACAGAAATTTGTTTTTAATTTGATACAAGGTGTTGAGCAGAAACAAAGCATCGAAAATATTGCCCAAGGCCAGAAGAATGCTGGTTTCTCTGTTTTCATTATTTGGACCAGCGCCTGATTTCACCACGATGCCTAACATTTTTCTCCTCAACAATGAATGGTCGTCCTTTCATCATTTTGACAAACGCCTGATTTCAACATGATGGCACACATATTTGAGATTTATATAGTCACATAAAAAACCCACTCAGCTCATGAAAAATATGTATTTTTTTTAAAGTTCAAGTCTAATCTAAATCATAAGCATAATGTTAACGGTTTTTTTTTGTCTCTACAGGGTGTAAAGCAAGATCTAATCCGGTGGAAACGCTGTGTGGAGATTGTCAACGAAAACGTTGGCATGGCAACAGGTGCCATGTTTGTGAGGGACAATTTCAAGAAGCAGAGTAAAGATACGGTAAGGATCATTCTGATCGGGGTCATGTTTGTTTCAGTTACTTCCTCGACAGATCTTTTTTCCGTTTTCAGTTTGCTTATATCATTAAAAAATTTTTTTTCTTTTACCACACTAGTTAACATTACGATAGCTAATAGACGACAAAAAAATCCCATTTAGAAACAACTTACCCCGAAAAGAAGCATATTAATTGATAGAACCATTATTTATTGTCATTATCATAATCGTCGTCATCTTCACTTCCCCCTCATCCTCATCCTCGTCCTCCTCGTTCTCATCCTTCTCCTCCTCCTCCTCCTCCTCCTCCTC